ATACCAACTGCCGATGTCATGGTATCATGGCTGCGGTTGATGGCCGACTATGGCTTCCTGGAGTCGTTGCAAGTGGTAAGTCTTGTCTGAGATATTTTTCGTTTGGTTAACGGACTAAAAACTAACTCTATGAAGCCTTGCAGCGATCCGACAGAGGTCCAGCTGTCTCTCCAGGGCCTTGTGTCTATAACAAGTCTTACATTCTTGAAACTTCCGCTTTCTATTCCTTTCATAGTCGACAAATCCCAACCGCAGGCGTCATCCAAACCACCTTATTTCCTCTCAAAAGATGAAGTTTCGCAGCTTAATGAATTGTTCACAACTGCATGTGTAGATTTCAAGTCTGCTCACCCGGCCGCGTTTTCCTGGGGACTAGTGCTGCATACCATGCGAGAGCTAGCACTTAACGATAAGGAGACTCGAGAACTAGAACAGTTCCACAGTGCAGTTGATTCCTTCCAGTCAAACACCCCGCATGCCAGTCCGGGCCGGGAACTGGAATTATCTTTGTACGAGGAGCTGCTAGACTGCGCTCGGACTCCCAAATACAACGTGGATGATTCCATCACACTCCTGAGCTCAGATATGATGAAGGACACCGTGTTTGAGACCGTCATTGCGTTGGCAACCAAGGTCGGGTCTACATCAGCAGTTGATGATATTTTGGCAAGTCGATGGATTCGCGTGGCTCTTCTGGACCTCACTCGGGTCGTAATTATGTTCTTGGATTATTCCCCCGAAATTGTTGAGTCCGTCCTCGCAATACTAACGGGATCACCTTTGCAATCGCCCTGGGCCTCCGACACGTCCCCATCTTCCTCCAGCGACCCGAGGTGGATTTTCATGAAAGATCGCCTTTTGATGGACAACGTATTTCACATAGCACGCTCCCGGTTTCCGTACGAGACGGTTCCCTTCCTAAAGCTCTGCCGCGCCCTCATTAGCAAGGATCTTGTTAACGAGGATGGCTTACCAGAAATCGTCAATCAGCTGGAAAATCTGGAAACTTTCACGCAGGTCGTTCCACCAGACTTTCAGGGTTACGACACTATTCGCGAGGATGAAAATGCGAACTATGTCTCTCTTATGCAATCCCTCCCGATGTTTGACTCTTCACCGAAGAGACTACTTCCCGATTCTCAACCAAGCGGTGCCATGATTGTCACAGGTTCGTCTGAAATTCCTTCGACAACTGAGGGTCAAGTGGTTTCAGAGTCGAAACCGGTGGTAGTCATGTGGCATCATCGATACTCTTGCTTGAGCTTCTTGGGGAGCTGGTTAGAAGAATGGAATGAAAATGGTGGTTATTCATCGGGGTGGGGGGAAGATTCAATTGCAGAAGTCATAGGGCTATTAGCAGACCTCGTCACCACCGCCAAAGATGTGCAAACACCAGGTGACGTGGGCTCTGGAGCCAGGAGAATCTTGGAAATGGCCAGTGATGGGTTGTCCCGGCAAAGCGATGTAGTTTCATTGGTCTTTGAGATATTCGAACGCAATTTGCAGAATATCGGCCCTCGGGCTGCTTTGGACGGTATTCTCGATTCGACAATTGCTTGCTTGCGATTCATTTGCGGTCTTGTCACGGTTTTGCCTGGCAGAGTATGGCCGTTGCTCGCGCGGAGCAGCTTGCTCGGAGCTGATGGAAAAGGCGGCGTAATGACAGCAATCGTCTCCGCAATCGAGGTACCATCCGGGGATTATCCGTTTTTGCTTAGCTGCGTCAACTTGTTTGAACAACTTGTCAATGATGCGGCTTCGCGCGCCGTTCTACGGAGGAGTCCGAATAGTGCTGCGACCAAGTTGCCTGTTGCCTCGGATTGGGGTGCCGGTGTTCCATCACACATAATGAGAGGCATTCTGCTGAACTTCGTTCGAACAGTGGTCGAGGTCTACAACAGCAACGTCAATTGGCGGTTCAACTCACCGGACCAAAGGCTTCAAATCAATACCACCCTTGCGCGGACGTTCGAGAACATACTCTACTACTCATATGGAACTAACCAGACTGGCAAACTAGACACGAAGGTAACTGGCGTTTTCTCTGCATCTGCGTCATATCTCCTAGATGTCCTAAGGCCCCAGTCGACGGCCGATTTGCCCTTTAATCAAATCCTACGATTCATCATCGATGGCCTTCAAACGCCTCCCACATTATATCTCCGTTATCTTGCGTTGGTGGAAGGTCAAGTCAAGTCAACCCTTGCGCTTTCCATCAAGTTGTTGCAGGCAGCCCAGTTGATGGAATACCCGGTGTCGCTACTCGAGGACCAATTATTTAGGGCGACACCAGCCCTGGTCAAACTATACGCACTACATGACGCCTATCGTCTGCCTGTCATATCGCTTCTTGACATGCTCATAACCAGGGCAGCCGCTGATTCCGTCAATGAACCGCCATCCCTGGTTGGTCACCTTGGGGCAGAGTCGTCTTGTCTCTTCCTTGACGTTTTGTCGCAATTTGATCAACCACTGAGCCATCGTCCTCTGCACCTCGCAGTATGGCACTTACTCTCAGCGCTCGTTAGCAAGCGCCAGCAGTGGCTTTCTGTTTACATTCTCACTGGATCATCCCCGCGACAGTCATTGAAGAAAGACGATGCACAGAAAGCTCCAGCAATGAGGGGCGCTCCATTTTTACAAATCGCCCTTGATAAACTATCCAATATCGAGCAGCTTGATTTACAAGTGGCGGTTTCTTTACTTGTATTTGTTTCGCATGCGCAGGAACATTGGCCATGGGCAACCCCAGAGTTAAGAAAACACCCTAATTTCTTCAACAGCATCGTGAACTATGTCTCGAAGTTGAAAATATCTTCCCTGCCTGTTGTGAGCCAAATCCCCGCTACTCATATTGCGGCAGTGGTTGCAGATCTCTGCGCCGTTTACCTACATTCTGCCAAGGAAATGCGAGATCGGTCGTTTATCAAGACTTTGATCCCGCTGGTGTCTTGGTTTGCGAAGGATGCTGTCGAAGTCTCCGGATACAACGCATCACTGCATGCGAACCTGAAGAAGAATTTCGAGATGAGATATTCCGGCTGTAAGCTTGTTGACTTCAAGAGGTCGTCTCTCGAAACTCGTGGCTTGGGACGGGAATATTATTACGACACTGCTCTGGGCGAGAAGTTACTTTCTTACGACTTCGCTTGGGCCGGAACCAGAAACCAAGGGTTTGCGGAGGAGTTTGAGCGTGCCAATATCAACCTCTCTCTTGTCGAGGCGCAAGTTGTATGTTTTACCTGGTTGTCTTCCATGGTGTGTGCAATTACTAATATTTTCTTCACAGAGCCTCCTGCATGGCTGGAAATTCTTCGCCATCGAGCACTGCGCGGACTTCATAACCGACCACGAGGTTCAAAGATCTATGGCATTGGTCGTCCAAAGTTCTTTGGAAGCCAATACCCGAAGCGTTCCCCAAGAACCAATATTTGAGAGGATACAGCAGACACGGGTCGACTTCGCACAGGCTTTGCTTCAACGACTCGTTGAGGTTGGAGCAAAAGGCGCTGAGGTCTTTGGCTTACTCAGGGTCGCTTGGGACACTTTAAGAACACGCCGTGCAACATATGAAGAAGCGCTTGTTAATGATGATACGGAATATTACCGATCCCTCCTTAACGTCCTATTCCTGGCCCTTCAATTTCACGTTGATGGACCCTCTCGGGCGGCCCCTGAGACGCTCAACAAGAAGGCCGAGCTCTCATCTGATTTGACACAAGTCATCGAAATCACGAAAGTCGTTGTGGCACAGGGTTTCAAGGCCCTGACGACGTACTTGCACGATGATCCAGAAAAATGTACACCGAAAGATTTCGCCATCCTCACTGCCATCTTGCAGACTTGTCTCCAGGTTAAACATGCGGATCGGCTGCTTGAGCATATCGTGTTCTACATTCAGGATAATGATACTGCCCGGTATGCTACTACGCTTTTTTCGTGGGCCGATCAGTTGGCGGTGGCTGGTGATCCCGTCTACGGTGACCTTAGTATCTCGTTCCTCGTTAAGCTGTCTACGATTCCCATGTTGGCAGAACATCTTGCCGTTGAAGGGGTCTTGATGAGGCTTTCCACCTGCCGGTTAACAAATGTTCTCCGTCAGCCCAAGGGATTTGGACCGTTTGACCCTGTTCCCCGGCTATACACTATTTGGACCGGTGGTATTCTACCGCTTTGCCTGAACCTGCTCTACCACGTCATGCGGACTGCACCGGAGGTGGCAGCATTCCTCAATCAATTTGAGGGCCAACTCAATCGTGCAGCAGATTCTTTCTCTGCAGGTCGCGCAACAGCTGGCACTTCAGTTTCCGCGCCCCGTCGCATCTGCCTAAGTATGGCTTCTGAGGCCAACTCTCTTGCACTGATCACCTTCATTCTGGACCGATTCCGGGAAGCCGGCGCCAGCGCAGGTGTTGATGCGTCGTCGATCCAGGAACTCAAGTGGGACAAGGGACAGGTCAAGGAGGACATTGAGGAGCTGCTGGAGCGGAAACAAGCGCTTCGGGCTCGGATTGTGGCTACGAATGACAAGGAGGTGGAGATGGCGCGACAGAAGGCTGTCAGTGCTTCGTCTGGTGCGGAGAACCGACTTGAGGAGAAGATTATCGGTGAACTGGGGGCCGCATTGCTTTGTCTTGGGGGTGAAGAGTAATGTAGTGATGGGTCCTTGTTTGGTGTATGTAGCATTTAAGTTTTGTCGTGCATTGCTATTTTCTGTTCTATGGATAATCATTTTTGGATGGACATGCTTCTTTAACTGAATACATATTATCTCTCTTGTATCTCCTCATTTGTCGCCCGAGGTCCACGATTCGCATAACCTCGGGCATTTCCCTTTCTAGCAATCGCTTTGTACAGTGTTGCGGGGGTGGGGCGTAGAGAACATGGGTCGAATAAGGAAAAAGGGTATTCTTAATAAACTCCTGTTCTCCCAGGCCATTCAAAAATATACATATCTCCGGTTCCATTTGATCTCATATATTTTTTTAGGGCAAGACAACATGCCGCTCACATCACGTTGGCAGACAGAACAAATCCCCGACACTCACCTAGCTTCCTTACTCTTTACCTCACCTACTCACCCTGTATCAAAAACCCACCGCTGCTATTCTGACGCCGACAATCCAGAAACCCACTACTTCACCACCCATGACTTCCGCCTCTGGTGCCAACGATTCGCGGCGGGGTTGCGCAAATCCGGTCTCCAAACGGGCGACCGGGTGCTGCTGTTCTCCGGCAATGATTTATTTTTCCCCGTTGTATTTCTGGGTATCATAATGGCTGGTGGTGTTTTCTCAAGCGCGAACCCGACTTATGTAGCTCGGGAACTGGCGTATCAGTTTCAGGATAGCGGTGCGACGTACCTTCTCTGTGCGGAGTCTAGTCTGGACACGGGCATTGAAGCGGCCAGACTAGCTGGAGTGCGCAGAGATCGAGTCTTTGTCTTCAACAGTGACGTCTATGACGGATCAGGCCAGGCCCGGAAAGGCTGTCGCCACTGGGGAGAACTGGTAGCGTCCGCAGAAGAAGGAAGCAAGTTCGTCTGGGAAGAACTCTCAACCCCAGAGACATCCAGCCGCACACTAGCCCTCAACTACTCCAGCGGAACAACAGGAAAGCCCAAGGGCGTGGAAGTCTCGCACAAGAACTATGTGGCCAACACAATACAGACAGGCTTCATGGCGCAGTTGAGCCCGGAGTACGAAGCGAAAATAGCTAAGGCGCGGTTGCTCTGCTTCCTGCCTATGTACCATGCAATGGGGCAGACGATATTCATTGCCAACGCTTTGCTTTCTGGGACCCCGGTGTATATTATGCCGAAATTTGATTTCATCGGAATGCTCGAGTATGTACAGAAGTTCCGCATTACTGAGCTTATCCTCGTGCCTCCGATTATGGTAAGGCTTGCAAAGCATCCAGCTGTTCGAAGTGGGAAATACGACTTGAGTAGCGTGGAGGCGATTCGTTGTGGTGCGGCACCTGTGGGACGGGAGATTTGTAGGGAAATCGAGAAGTTGGGGACCCAGACGGGTTGATATAAAGCAGGCGTGGGGGATGACCGAGTATGTTTTCCTTCACTTCGCTCCCCGTCCGTATATTGATGTATATTGCAGGGTGACATGCTCGTTCCTGGGATGGGATCCCAGAGATGAGGGCAATCCGGCATCTGTTGGCATGTTGTACCCCAATTGCGAGGGCATGATCATAGCCGACGATGGAAAGACAGAGTTAGGCAAGCACCAACGCGGTGAATTGTGGGTTCGAGGACCGAGTGTCATGAGAGGATACTGGCAAAAGCCTCAAGCCACACAAGAGACCAAAACAGCGGATGGATGGTTGAAGACGGGGGATATTGCATATGTCGATGATGATGGGAGATTCTATGTCGTGGACCGGATAAAGGTATTCAAGCCATTCTTCATAAGGTACTTCCATGATATATACTGACTTGCTTAACTATAGGAACTGATCAAAGTCAAAGGCAATCAAGTAGCACCAGCAGAGCTAGAGGGACTCTTGTTGGAGCATCTTGCAGTCGCCGATGTTGCTGTCATTGGAGTACCTGTGTAAGCCTTCACTCGTATTGACACAGATCTACAAGAGAGTGACTAACCCGGTATCAGCAACGATGACGAACGCCCTCGTGCATACGTTGTATTAAAGCCCGACCAGGGTGCCACAGCAGAGGATATTATCAAGTTCATGGATGGGAAGGTGACCGCGGTCAAACGCATTACTGGTGGTGTTGTCTTTATAGATGCGATCCCTAAGAATCCTTCGGGCAAGATCCTACGTAAGGAGCTTCGGGAGAGGGCCAGGAAGGAGATGAAGGGAGCTACTGCGAAGCTGTGATAGACAATGCATACACGACTTTATGATAATATAGTTTTGATTTCTATTATCTCGCAGACAATATGTCCCTAAAAATAACATTACCTTTAACTATACTCTGTACACTGATACATGATTATTCAGAAGGCACAGCTGGGTGAAATAAATAAATACGTGCCAAGAGGAATGGCTTGACATGTGAAAAATGTGGAATTCACGATTTACTGTTATTTGACTGACTGGGTCTTTCCTGCATGAACTGGTCATCATATATGCACTTATGTGCATCGGGACGCATTAGCAGTTCAATAGGACCTTCAAGAACCATCCGGGGACGATAACGTAAATAGCAGCGCGCCCCATAACGTATTTCCCAAGCGACCCGCCACCCCAAGCGACCCGCCACCCTACCGCGTTCGCGTCACCCACGTCGCGTCCTACCATGTTCAACCACCCACTATGCCACCAAAACGCACTCAATCGAGCCAAAAATATATTGAACAAGAGGCCAGAATCTTGCTTGCTATTGAGGCTATCAAGAAACAGGAAATCACAGTGATTGCTGAAGCAGCATGTTGATTCAATATACCTTGAACAACACTATGCGACTGACTAAGTGGCCACCAGAATCGCACTGAGAAATGCGCTAATAACCATAAATTGAACAAAAATGAAGAGAATTCACTTGTACAATGGGTGCTTTTTATGGACCTTTGTGGAGCAGCCCCCCCGGCCTGCTACTGTGCAGGAAATGGTGAATCTTCTACTTGCAAAGCGCAGTGAGACCCCCCCCTCAGACAGTTGGCAAGAATTGGGTTACAAACTTTGTTAAAAGATACCCTGAGCTTGCCTCTTGCTTCTCACGATGATATGACTACGAGCGCGCAAAAACAGAGGATCCAAGGGTCATCCAGGAGTGGTTTGACTGTGTTATTTGTACAATCAAAGAGAATGGTATCCTTCAGGAGGATATCTATAACTTTGATGAGACAGGCTTTGCAATGGGCCTTACAGCAACTGCTAAGGTTATTACTTGATCTGAATACTATGGTCGGCGCTCACTTTTACAACCTGGGAATCATGAGTGGGTTACAGCCATTGAAACAATTAATGCCTCTGATGGGTGCTTCCACTGGTGATTATCTTCAAGGGCAAGGTCCTTATTAAAGGCTGGTTCGATGATCTCCCATATGACTGGTGCTTTGAAACAAGTTCAAATGGATGGACTACTGATGAAATTGGAGTATTGGACTTCAATGGCTTCAAAAACACTTCATTCCAGCGACAACTAGTCGTACACGTGGGAAATATCGACTTTTAATCCTTGATGGCCATGGGAGTCATCCAACTCCTAAATTCAACTAAGTTTGCAAAGAGAATAATATTATACCAATTTGCATGCCAGCACACTCTTCGCACCTTCTGCAACTGCTTGATATTGGGTGTTTTGCTCCTTTAAAGCATGCATACAGCCAGCTAGTTGAGAACCAGATGTGGCTTGGGTTCAACCATATTGACAAGTTTGACTTTCTCGCCACCTACCCAATTGCTTGTGTGGAAGCTTTCCAAGCTCAGACTATTCAAAATAGCTTTACAGGAGCTGGTTTAGTGCCATATAATCCAGAGTGAGTGCTTTCAAAGCTTGATATTATACTCCAAACACCATCACCCCCGGGTAGTCGTCCAATAAGTCAATCAAGCCAATTTTCACCAAAGACACCTCAAAATCCTATACAACTTCAGCGGCAGGCTAGTTCAATTAAGGCTTTGAGGAGAGCCAGCAGATCATACAGCTTCCTATAGAAGCAATTGAAGCACTGAGACCCGTCCCTGCAGAAGCACCAATTTCACCTAATTTGCCGGTTCCTGCGAGAAGGAAGCTACCAAAATGTAGCATATGCGGACAGGAAGGACACAGGTCAAACCATTGCCCTCACAGATAGTTCTTTTACCTAATATACTGGCGTTAATGTGGTTAAAAATGCGTTCAAAAGAGTAGGGTAGGGTGGCGGGTCGCTTGGGAAATACGTTAGTAGGAAAGTCACGCGTTAAATTCTACATAGTAAGACCCTGCTCGTGCAACTAAACCTTTTGGTAAACAATTACTATAATCCGTACTTATTTATTTATTTTATTTTTTCATTTTTTCGCAATATGGAATTGGCAGGCTCTTTTTACCTGGGCGAATTGAGATTGCGATGCCTAGCTCGTTTGACTACAAGTAGAACATGTGGGGTAATAATTGCTTTGCACTAGGTATTTGGAATTCGTCGAGTAGGCTCAGAGTTTGGCGTATCGAACTAGTCTGTGCGAGAAAAAGATCATCTACGTGCATATCATCTGGACCTGGTAATCGGGTCGTACTATGGGCATGAACCAAAAAGAGGCGTAATTCAATTGTCCGGATGGCCTAATCGAACAGCCGTTCAGTCCATCGGTGAGATACATGGCGCCGATGGCGGCTTCGGGAATTGTTTTTTATGCCCACCGAAGATAGTGCCGTGCGTTCCGCAGGCCTATTATTATGCCGGGGAAGAGACAGCAGCCGCGCCACAATCAAATGTCAACTTTCACCGCCGCCATGTTTTTCATTATTCTGGCGTGACGGTTCCATCAGATCGTGTCTTTGACGTGTTCTGTGTGGGCGCCATGATCGATCGGCTGAATCGATCTGCTGTTGGCTTCTGCTGGCTTAGGGCATAACAACCTGCGAGCGATTAAGCGGTATGTCCGATGGGGGTCTTCCAGCACAGCCATTGGCGATCTGGGTATACTACTAGCGATTCAGGGATCTGCATTGACAGAAGGTAAGGTCAAGATGAATCCAGTCAATGCAGTGGATCTGTGACGATTTACCGAGTGAAAAAAGAAGCATTAAGTGGGATGGCTAAGCTGAACTGAAGAAGATGAAAGAAGTTGGAGGTGCGAGTTTGGCGTCTGTGCGTAATTTACACGCGGTATTGGTGTGTATTTGGCGCTTAATGCTGCGGTAAGTATATCAGCAGATCACCACCACCTCTACGGAGTACCTCTCTGTACAAATATGTACTTGGGTCCACGAGGGCAACTATTGATTACTGCATATTTGCCTTTGCGATTGCATATTTGCCTCTGTTAACGATGGATCGGAGCATCTTCAGGGGCACTTGAAGAGGAAAAAGAAAAAAAAATTTCATGCGGTGCTATGTTGGTGATAGGATGTATGGTGGCGCAAATTCTCAATAGCTGAAAAAAAAAAAAAAATTTCGCCTCGCATTGGAGCCGCCACATTCCCTCCCCCCCTCCTCCATTCCAGTCCACTCGGATTCTCTAGTTTATTCCGTGACAGGATGCTAAAAGAGGTTTGATTCGTTTTTCTTGCTAGTGTTGTGCCATCGACTGCGGGCACAGCTGCAACTTGCGTTTTCACCCGCACCCCTCAATTTCTCTCTCCCCACCTGTCTAGAAAAATCTTGTGATTATTTACAAAAGGTGAAGTTGGTGGGTTAACTTTAGAATATAACCATGCCAATCAAGGACAAAGAAAGCGAGAACTAGAGGAAGAGGTCTTCGCCGAATATGGTCGTTTTCCTCTGGGGTACTGCTGAACCGGACTGGCTCTCCTGAGCCTGGACTCTGCATCTCATACATCATAGGGAATTGTCAACTCTAATAAAGAAGATCCTGGTCTGTTTCAGTATTTGCTGTGGACCGTGCCGCCATCGTTCTATTCATGGTCTTTATATAGCTGTCTCCCTTCTAACTCGGAGCAAGCAGGCCCCAACTCTTCATCTCTGCTAGTCTGAACTGGAATTTCAAGAACAGCACTCTCGTTACTTGTCACTCGATTTTCACATTTAGCAGACTATTACTTGTCCCTCGTTAAAGCAATCTTCTGGGCACCTCAGCTTGGAGCACCTTTCGTTCTCAGCCAGAGAAAGACAAGCCACACAGTTCTTGCGATGAACAGCGAGCACGGCAAATCGTTTATTCCCCAAGAGTTGCAAATCACATCGACGCAGATACTCTACCCTGTCCTTTGCTTAATTTGCCTCCTACTCCTCGTCCAGCGCATCAAACATCGCAGCAGGTGGTCCGCACTATCTCGGAGGCAAATGGACTCGCAAAAGTCCCTACTAGAGACATCCGGCGCCAGTGGCAACAAAGAGAAGCCAGCTGGCACGGCTGCAGTGGACCAGCAACAACAGCCTATATCCAATAGTCCCCCAAAGGATCTATCTCGCGATGTTCGCGCCCCCTTGCCATCCGCCTGTGATATCCTGCAGCCTTTGTCCTGGCGCACGCCACTGCCGTCGAGTGGTCACCTGGCCGCCATGCTAAGCCAGGAACGGCATGTTGGGAGTCGACCGTCGTTGACTGAGACACCAGCGGAGCCATTGTCCCCTGAATCCTCGTCGACACATGCCGCGCCAGGTGGCAGCGTTCATGCAAGCGGATCGCACCAAGGATTCTCTGAAAATGCAGATCAGGAGGCAAAGAGGAGCCCTAGGTCAGGGTCAGGGTCAGGAGCAGGATCAAGCGAGCTAGTGAAAACCCCACAGAGTGCGTTTTTGCCTCCCTCTACCGGGATATTAAGTGATGGGCGGTCTCGCTTAGGATCTAACGTGGTGTCTACGGCGCAGAAGCGAAGTGAAACCGTCCAGCATCTTCAAGATACAGACGAAAATGGCGTGCGGAAGTGGAAGCGAAAGGTGGTTGAATATAGTTGATTCTTTTTCTTTTTTTCCCCTTTTGTTTTTCTTCTCTTGCTTTCAGCTCTCATTCTATTATGAGGGCTTCTCATGCTACGATACGCGGCACGTGATCACGACGCATTGAGGAATGTCATGATTTATTAATTCCCACTCGTCTACTAGCAGTATTAGCATAATGATACTTGTCATATCTCTACCCAAACTCAGCTATAGCTGTAATCCATGCTTCATAGTTAACTACTCCATCCGTAAACCGCTTAGTAATCAAACCGTGACATCGGAGATAACTAGCTAGGCCTCGCTGTCTACTCTACTCCGTACTTTGTACGGAGTCACCACAACCAGCATCAAACGCTCTCAACAAATAAACCAACAAAATGACACTAACAGTCTTCCCCCCTTCGACACCAACACCATCCACCAAATCACCGATATCACCCGCCTCCGCAAACACCATCGCCCACGATGCCGATTCGACACTCCTAACGATAACCCGCCTTTTTGCGCGCCTGGAATATAACCTTCTCAGCAGTACTGCGGATCTGAGGCCGTTGGTACGAGATGAGTTTCAGCGGATGAGGGTGCAGGCTGTATGGTTTTTCTGTACCCCCCTGGTAAGGTTTTGGGTGTTAATGTAATGAGAGCAGAACATTGACTACGCGCGCACGGCTCTGAATACATTCGAAAAGTCGCTTTCTGGTGTGAAACGTGTTGATCGGCGGTATGAGATTCAGACGGAGGTTGGGAGGAAGAGGCAGACACTGAGGGCGTTGGAGGGTGTGTTGGAGGAGGTTACTGCGCAGGCGGAGGCGCAAGCAAATCGCGACGATGATATCGAGGAAGAAGAGTACGAGGGGGAAGGGGAATTGGTGGATATAGGTGACAATGAGGGTGTTGAGAATGCGCCAGAGACCGCGACGAAGGATGCGCAACCGCCATCACCACCGGAACAAGAGCAAGAGGAGGAAGAGACAAGTCGCGGCGACTCTACGATAACCAATCCGCCCACGTCGACCCTCCGGAGCCGCAATCTTCAGCACCAGCACCCAACAGCGACATCGACTTCTTACCAAACCCATGACCAACCCCAGCCAACATCACCGCCGCAACCAGACCGTGCCCAAGCGCAATCAACAGAACAATCTCTCTCCACCTCCCGCCTCGAACATGAATCCCTCACTGAATCCCTCCTCTCCCTCGCTACGCAACTGAAGTCCTCCTCCACATCCTTCCACACCTCGCTCGAATCTGAGAAATCCATGCTGGATCGCGCTGTAGATGGGCTCGATACTACAACGACGAATATGGGTGCGGCTGAGAAGCGGATGGGGACGCTGAGGAGGATGACGGAGGGCAAGGGGTGGTGGGGACGGATGATGCTGTATGCGTGGATTCTGGGGTTGTGGCTGGTTGCTATCTTGATTGTGTTCTTGGGGCCGAAGTTGCGGTTCTAGAACTTGGAGCGGTTATTTATCCTACTATGTAATACTGGAATGTGGATTATATGTACGGAGTACTAGACTACAGATGCATTATTCTACAATCTCAAACGCTTGCTTTACTATGACCCAAAGACCGACCGGCATGACACATGAGAAGAGGCATGATGCGTACTTTGTCGTTCCCGTGCCCATTGCCCTATGGCCGTCGTTCTCAATAGGGAAAAGAAAAGAAGGGAACACGAGATAAAAGGAAATGATGCGTGACATAATGAGTTATACACAAGATTTGATGACGAGGGCAGGATATCCAGCTTTCAAATCAGACAGACACATAAAAGGAAATACCGGCAGAATGAGGGTTTGAGGTAACCAAATCAAAAAGGGAATCAAGAAAAAGGAAAAATTTTCACCAAAAAAAAAAAAAAAAAAAAAAAAAAAAAAAAAAAAAGCATATGCGTTTTGTACTGTT